CCCCTGCAGGCTGCCTAGCTCTGCACCCTGCAGACACACAGCGACTCAGGAGAACCACCCGCTGGGAGACCAGCCAGGGTGGCCTTCCTGCCCTCCCTGTGCTCGGTCAGGAATCCTGATTAGCAGAGTCCAGCCACGGGGCTCGGGGCTCCACCCTCCTGCTGCATCAGCCTCTCCTCCCCTGTTTCCACTCAAGTGGCTTTCCCCTCGGACGACGATGACAAGATCGTCGGGGGCTACACCTGCGCGGAGAATTCTGTGCCTTACCAGGTGTCCCTGAACGCTGGCTACCACTTCTGCGGCGGCTCCCTCATCAGTGACCAGTGGGTGGTGTCCGCGGCTCACTGCTACCAGTAGTAAGTGCTGGGCCCCTGGCGACTAAGCCCACTGCCCAGGGCCCTCTGGGAGAGCTGGGGTCCGTCCAGAGCTCAGAACGATGATGGGGAAGAGAAGATGTGGGCAACAGCAGCTGACTCAGCAGGAGCTGTGGGTGAAGAGGGGCATTTGCCAGGCTTCTCTGTCCATGGGATTCTCCAAGCAAGAACACTGGAGTGGGTTGCCATGCCCTACTCCAGGGGATCTTCCCGACCCAGGGATCGAACCCGGGTCTTATGCTTTGGCTTGCACTGGTTCTTTACCACTGGTGCCACCTGGAAAGTCCCATAAAGAGTAGGCACAAACTATTTTGAAGGTGGGAATAGCCAGTTGGAAAAGCTGGCATAGACCTCACACAAATAACCCTTGCCAATTGGCTACATGTTAAAACCTTGTCAGATACATTTAAAAAAAATATATGATCCCTAGTTCCCATTTAGCTCAGAATTTTTAGGACGAGTCTGAATATTGGTGAGTTTTCAACGCTCTCTGCCTCTGGCAATTTTCTGCACTCCTGGGCAGAGCTGAGAATCACTGCCAAAAGCAAGGGTTCTCCAACCTGAATGCACGTAATAATCACCTGGAGGGCCTGTTACAACACAGGTTGCTGGGTCCCACCCCAAGTGTTTCAGATGCAGTAGGTCTGGGCAGAAGAGAGAATCTGAGTTGCTAATGCGTTCCCAGGTGACTGATGGTACAGGTCCTGTGACTGTTTTTTGAGAAGTGCTGTATTAGATCACAGATGATGCTAGTGGTAAAGAACACACCTGCCAGGGCAGGAGACGTAAGAGACACAGGTTTGATCCCTGGGTAGGGAAGATCTCCTGGAGGAAGGCATGGCAACCCACTCAAGTATTCTTGCCTGGAGGATCCCATGGACAGAGAAGCCTGGCAGGCTATAGTCCATAAAGTCACAGAGTCGGATGCGAATGAAAGACTTAGGATGGACAAACAAATCAGATCACACAGGATGGTGGCCCTGACCAGATCAAGAAGGGAGGGAGTAAAAGTGACTGTGACTGCATGTAGTTTTCAAGGTTGCGGAGGTTGAAGGATGTCTGGGGAACTTGAAATGGTGCGTTTGCGTCCAGGGCACTGGGCACTGAATGCATGAGGGGTGTAGAAAAGGCGTCTGGAAAAGCAGATGGTCCCTAGCCAGACCCCTTCAACGCATCACTTCTACACCACCCCGAAGCACGGAGGTTGTTGGTCTCATACCTGCACTGGCCTACCACCCCTCTACAGCCCTTGACATTCCTACACCCCCACCTGTGAGCAGGGAAAACCCCTGTGGGATGTGGGCCTGTGGACAAAAAGGTCTTTACGGTGCTTGCCCTCAACAGCCGCATCCAGGTGAGGCTGGGAGAACACAACATCGACGTCGTGGAAGGTGGTGAGCAGTTCATCGACGCGTCCAAGATCATCCGCCACCCCAAGTACAGCAGCTGGACTCTGGACAATGACATCCTGCTGATCAAACTCTCCACGCCTGCGGTCATCAATGCCCGGGTGTCCACCTTGGCTCTGCCCAGCGCCTGTGCACCTGCAGGCACCGAGTGCCTCATCTCTGGCTGGGGCAACACCCTGAGCAGCGGCGGTGAGTGGGATCCTCACGTCTTCACCCTCTGACCTACCCACACTGCCCAGAACCGAGCATCGCCTGAGCTCGGCTCCAGTCTTTGCTTCCAGCCTACAAATTCCC